GGGGGGGGGGGGTGGCTAGTAGAGGGGAGTGTCTCATGACAAGGCCGTAATACAGGGTGGTTGTTCTTCAAAGCCTTCCACCGCAGCCCCGGCACCCGGTTTACTGACCTCTCCACTCTGTCTGCTCGCCTTCAGCTTGGCTTTTTGCTTTTTCATGTAGTCGGCATTGAAATGTGCAAATGCATATTCCACCAGTGCAGCAAAGACAAATACGTAGCAAATCCAGAAGTAAACATCCAGCGCCTTGATGGCAGAGGCTCGTGGGAGTGAAGACCGGGCACTGACCATCAACGTGGTCATAGTCAGAACGGTGGTTATCCCTAGGGAAGTGCAGGAGAAGCTTGGCTTAGGGGTTTGTAACACATTCCAGCGGGAATAAACAATAACTTCTACCTAGAGAGGAGCTGGCGGAGACTTTCAAAGCCATCCAGGGGACCTGGGCACCCACTTCTGAACTGGGCACTCATTGCCCGAGGCAGCTCTGAAAATCTCAACGTGATTTCAGTTACCAGACACAGACAGATCCCTTAGCACAACCGAAGGAGGGTCTTGTCTATTCTGAGCACCTACTCCTCTCCCTCATGACTTCAGTGGGAGTCAAGGCTGCAGTCCTGAGTCTTTTTGAGTAGTGTCTGACAAATGCTATTGTTTTTAGGGATACAATATAACAACATTAAACTTTTATTTTCCATCCTTTGCTAGTGCATTCTGCCCCAAAGGAAAGCGAGAAGCAAGAAGGAAGGTAAATAAGGAAAAGTTATTTACTTGTTCCCATAATATAAGAACTAGGGGTCACCAAATGAAAGGAATAAGTAGCAGGTTTAAAAGAAACAAAAGGAAGTTTTTCTTCACACAGCACACAGTCAACCTGTGGAACACCTTGCCAGGGGATGTTGTTAAAACTAGGACTTTAACAGGGTTCAAAAAAGAGCTAGATAAATTCATGGAGGTTAGGTCCATCAATGGCTATGAGCCAGGATAGGTAGGAATGGTGTCCCTAGTCTCTGTTTGTCTGGAAATGGATGCCAGGAGAGGGATCATGTGATGATTACCTATTGTGTTTACTCCCTCTGGAGCATCTGGCATTGGCCACTGTTGGCAGACAGGATACTGGGCTAGATGGACCTTTGGTCTGACCCAGTATGGCTGTTCTTACGTTCTTAAGGAACCCCTCTGTAAGACTCATTGCTTTGCCAGGGCAGACACAGCATTCATAAATATGCTTTTCTTCCAGTAATGGCACATTGGAGATGACTATCTGGCCTTTGCATGGCCTCCTTTCAAGATCCTAACCCCAGTCTTTTTACCTAGTGACACCCTCGCGGGCACAGCTGATTGGCTGATCCAGAAGGACACCCAAGACATGGCCACCAGTAAGATGGAAGGCATGTAAGACTGAATGATATAAACGCCTCGATTCCGCCGCAGGTGGAAGTGCAGACTGAGCCTGGGAAACTGACCCGCTGGTGGAGAGAGTGGGCAAAGGATACACATGACATGTATTAGAAGGTTGGATTTATAATCACCCAGTTTATAACATAACATACAAGAGTCATGACACTGATTTGCACTTTTACATCATCTTTCACTCAAGGGTCACAAAGGGCTTTGCATTAATTAAGTCTCATAAAACCCTGTGAAGCACCATAAGCAGTGTCACCATTATTAGTTCTAAGAATGGTCGAGTGACTTGCTGCAGGTTGCATAGTGAGTCAGTAGCAGACCAAAAACAGATTTCAGGACTCCCAGTTCCTAATTCCTTGCTCTAACAGTACTATTTCAAAATGTGATCTGCTTTAAGATTTGTATAATCTGTCGTGAAAAGTCCTCCAGATACTAAATTTAGATTTTTTAAAAAGATCATGTGAATTTAAAACTAACAGGAAAAGAGCTTGGTGGATATGGGGACAGCATAACTAAGCATTTAACTACAGGCAGTCCCTGGGTTACGTACAAGATAGGGACTATAGGTTTGTTCTTAAGTTGAATTTGTATGTAAGTCGGAACTGGCTCCAGATTCAGCCACTGCTGAAACTGATCAGTGGCTGACTACAGGAAGCCCGAGGCAGAGTTGCTCTGCCCCCGGCTTCCTGGAATCAGCAGCTGATCAGTTTCAACAGCAGCTGAATCTGGACTCCTGGGACAGAACAGCTGGGGTGCTGCCGGGTAGGTCCCCCCAGGACCAACCCGGCAGCATCCCAGTTGCTCTACCCCAGGCGTCCACAACAAAAGCCAGGTCTGCTGGGGGGGGGGGAGGGGCGGAACACTGCCGC